TACAACGTGCGCAAAAAATACATAGTGAAATTCTCTGGTAAGGTTTTGCAGTCCAAAACAGATGCGACTGTGCGTTAGTTTTGATTGATAAATTATTTCTATGGAAGTGTAGCATTTCTGTAACACATACCAAACTATTTGGCAAGCAATTTTCTAAAAAATCGCCACCTAAAGTGTTAGAAAATCGAATCTGCCGTGCAAGAAACGCTCTATTTTATCAGGGTTTTTTTGTTTATTCCTAGATTAAAACAAAGACTACATCACTTTAATTTAACGATTAGTTGTGTTCTTTTTTGGTTAAAAAAATGGTGAAGATACAAGAGATTCAAGCGAATAAAATATAGGAAACCTAAAACGGTAAAAAAGTTATCTTTGTTGCAGGAATCAGCTAAACTTGAAATGACATTGTCTTAAGTGTTATATGTGTTTTTGTATCGTTTTAACAAGTTGATTGGTTGCTGGTTTTGGATCACCATTCCATGACATTGCGAACTACTTTGTTTTTGTAATTACTTTGTCAAAACTGTGTTAGTTCTTGCATTGTTTTAAAAGCTGAATTTTGTTACGAAATCCTATTATACATCGAACGTTTACCTTACCATTTTTATAACTGTAGTTTTAACAATTGTATTACAAAATAGTATGTAATAAAATAGAGACTTTGTTGTGGTGACAAATCTGAAAAAGTTTTAAAGATAGCAAATACCATAGTGAATGGTAATTGTAATATAATAAGTTCATAGTTCTCAAAACAACTGTTTTAACTAAAGAACACTAACCCAATAGTTCTAAATTAAATGACGCGATTCATTTCGGCAGACTACTCTTCGGGTGTCAACCAGGGGCGGATCTAGGATTTTTCAAACATCAGTCATAAAACGTCGAAGGCACTCTGCGCCGGGGGGGGTCTGAGGCATTCTCCCCTGAGAAAATTTGAATTTCAGAACCTCTAAAATGCCATTTTCAGCGTTTTAGAGCAATACAAGATGTATTTTGTGGGCATCGTTTTTCGGTAAAAACAACACATTTTGCTTACGTTTTTTTCAAAAAAAAATATGAAGTGAACAATACTTGAATGTTTTGCCAAATATTTAGGCTCATTATCATGCCAAATATATGGCTCATTAGCATGTCTAGGAACGTAAAATTTATTTTACAAAAATGCTATTCAAAAACAGATATAGTCTTTAATAATTTCTACCAAGTTGTCAGGCATAGACCCCCCTAGAGACCCCCATTCAAACCTCTATGTAATAAGTTAAGTTAGAAATTTGGTACTACAAGTGACAGTTCATAAATATAGAAAAGCTCAGACTTCAAACCATGCAAGTTTATTGTAACCTTTACCCATCTCCACATCAGAGCCAGCAAATTCACTTTTGAGAAAAACTCAAAATTTTTTGTCAAAGATTAAGAAAATTATCAAAGTGAAAAATTGCAGTTAAGGACAGCTTAATGCCATGAATGTTTCTTAGGCATTTCACTGACTATTATATTCTGTAAGTATATGCAAGGTGTGCTATATAGCAATTACTAGTAGCATTGTATTTGCAAATACAAACAGAATGTAACCAACATGTCTTTAATTATATAATTACATGAATGTTAAAATTGGTTTATGTGTCATGCTTACTGGTTATGATAAATATCTTTTCATATGATCAAAGCTCGTTTAAATGTAAATCTGAAATAATTTAGTTTAGAAATTATACTGATCATCAGAAAAATTACCTAGTGATCATGAAAAATACTTTGCTGTTTTGCCAAATTTCAAGGTTTATCTGCATACATTGGAAGACATTTTTACTTTATAGAAAATGCTATTCATACATCAATAGCCCTTTGGAATTTATTGCAAACAATCTGGTATGAGCCGTAGATTAACATACCTTTACATCTCTACATGAGGTGTTCAGTTAGAAAAGGGGACAATATGTGACATGGGACAACATTTCATGTATGTGAAAAACTCAGGTTTAAAACCATTCCAGTCAAATTGTCAAAATAAAAAGCTTCGTGGATCATAAGACTCAAAATCACAGGTTATAGTAAACAGCTTCTCATGTAATCAATGTTAGTTTTCTCAAATCTTAAACAATATGTAGTATAACTGTCCAATGATTGAATGATCAATGATCATAAACTGAAAAGCCCCAAACATTTGTTTATGATAAAGTAAATAATAGTATGGCACCTTATGGCTACAGATTTTTTGTTCATTGAAATATATTTGCAGAAATGTAGGATTTCGCTGCCATATAACGGCCACGATTCCCTAAGCATTAAAGAAATCATAGCTAAAAGTCCTTCGGCAACAACAATTTTAGAAGCATCAATCTGCTTACCATACGCCATATTAACATAAATCGCATCACACACTCGCATAAATTGACTATGTTATATTGCATTCATGCATACACTTCACTTGTCCTTTACTTACGATTTTCGATGTAAATTTCTGCTGATAAAACTAAAAACAATGTTGGCTTGCTTTTGAACATCAATGACTGAAATGTCGCTCGCGAGATCGTCTTTGCCAAGCATTTACAATTCATCCATAAATTTTTCACCCTCTTGAAAAAATTCCCAGTTTGGAAAGCAGCATTCATGTCAACATATGAATTTGTAAAAGATTTCCATAAATTCCATCTGATTGTAGTTTAGTTTCTATCATGTTTTAGAAAATTACTATGAAACGATCAAACATTCAATTCAGACAGTGAGCTTGACTATGTTAGTTCAGTTGGCTATCAATCGAAATGGGTCAAACCAATCAAAGTAAGACAAAAATTCAAATGAACCAATTGTAAGATAGCAATTGGACTCCCTTATAGGTCCGGCCACCCCTATTATCGGTCGAGATTATTCCAGACTGTCCACTGATCTGGCCATTGACCAATAAAATAGCGTTTCTGGCGTTCATAGACTCCTTTATAAGTCGAACCAGTCAAGCCACCCCGCTTATCAGTCGGTTATTACATGTCAATTAAAATTCAACTGAACTGGTTACCAAGGAGATATTCGTTGCATTAGTCATTAGTTTTCAATAATAAATAAAGCTGGATTTTTATCACAAAGTAAATGCGATAATAAAGTAAGAATAATTAATGAATTTTTAATTAATATGAATAGGTAATTTTTGAATTTCAAACATCAGTCGCGCGACGGATTTGACATACTCTAGATCCGCCCCTGTTGTCAACGTCTGCTAAATGAAAATATAATCAGCGTGCCACCAACGTGCATAATTCGGTCGGCACTAGATCATGGTCAACTAACGTACGCGCCCACATATTATTCTTAATATGTCAGCGGTAAGTAACAATTGACGAATATTCATGTATATGTAATTACCATTGGTAATTACCTATAAGCTGTGACAAACCACTAAAATATAGAATAACCATTGAGAATAACAAGTTTCATATGCGTATTTAACCGATATGCGGCTAAATGACGAGAAGAATTCTTTTTTTCGATTTCAGGTTTGGACAGTTTTACTTTTTTACACATTTATTGTTTTGTATGCTTTGTATTTTACATATATTGTCATATGCTCAACGATTTTAAATCATCATAACGATACTCGATGAAGCAATGAACAATATACAATAAACTTAACAGTGGCGTATCCAGCCCGTTTTATTTAGCTCTGCTATACAATTATTTCTTTGTTCACTAACTGTAAAAACAACAGATTTCTAAAGAAATGTTTAATGATAATAATATCAAATTTATGAATGTTTTATGCAGTGCGGTGTTTGAAATTAAATGAAGATATGATCTTCGCACTTTGCTGGACAATTTAAGCAATCGTCTCAGGAGCCTTAAAAATCAGGTGACTCACCTTGAGTCACCAGATCCCGTTGAGTCACCTGATTTTTAAGGCTCCTGAGACGATTGCTTAAATTGTCCAGCAAAGTGCGAAGATCATATCTTCATTTAATATCAAATTTACATACCACGACCAAATTATCTTCCGGGCTCGCTACACAACTGTGTAAAATTTATAAGGTAAATTTATTATTTCTACATTTTCTAGACTGTATTAGTTATATGTCCCCAGTTAGTTGTAAAAATAAATACCATGTCCATGATTCACAAATAGAAAATGTTAATTTTGTTTAATACTATTTACAGATATATACATACATGATTTGTCAAGGGGCTCCAATTTGAGCAATTACAGTGTAGATGTTTGCAAGCAAAAGAGAAGCGATACATGATTATTTTTATGTTAGATGCTTACAATTACTATATTCTCACAGAATATAATTTTTTGAATGGCAGGTTTGCATTGCATTCTCAATGTGGGGAAACATCTCGATTTTTTGTTCTTCAAAGGATTTGACCAGATGCACTTGCATCTTCTTCTGCAGCCAGGTAACAGAGCAAGGGTTCACACCATTAGCCAAAGCAACAGCATTTGCCACAGCAAAAAGACCACAATCTGATGATCCTTTTTGATGTTGTTGGAGAATCACTTTGACGTTTAAAGAACCATCCTGTTCTTGAAGGTTTTTGTAAACATTCTGGAGTTGCCTTTTTAATGATGAATTCAGGTTGGTACTCATAGATTTAAAGAATACTATTTCACCAGTTATGGACATAGAAACCACCCAGTGGTGACCAATATTGTGACATTGAATTGCTTGGGTGATATTTTCAGGAATATTTATGAGTTTGTTACTGTATGTGACTGCTACGACTGTGTTTAGACCTCCCACTCCGGTAACAAGATCACCTATTAATTTCTGTGCTGCATCAATATGGTCATCTGAAAGCCATCCATTTAGATTTAGAAGCACATCTTTCTGAGCATATGACAACGTTATTCCTTGAATATCTACCCAACACTCCTCAGAATTTTCAATTTTCTCATTGTTCTTCATTTTCATCTTTTTTGCTAGTTGCTCTTCAATTACTTGTAATTTGCATTTCTCATGCTTCTCTTCTTTTTCAAGCTTCTCTTCAAATACTTCAATCTTTTCACTTTCTAAATCAGCTGCTCTTCCCACTCGTTTACCTGGACACCTCTTGCATTTTCGTTTTGGCAAAGCAGATTGTGACCTACACTTTGAAATTTGTTTCTTTTTTGGAGATAAAGACTTGTTTTTCAATGAAATTCCATTTTCCTCAGGATGATTTTTTCTTGTTTATTGTATTACCTCTTGTAACATCTCCAGGGTTTTGTCCAAAACGTTCTCATCATCCAAAATGTAAAGCTCATCCTGCATTTGTTTGACTTTTTGAACACACTTATTTCTAACATTTTGGATTGAGTTGGAGCAAGAATCTGTTGTGCTAAGAAAACAGTCAGAAGAATGAGCTTTTTCATAATTAAGACATTGTGCAAAGTTTCCTGGCAGTGACTTGTGTTTGATATCAGTCTGAGTTGGGCTTATATTGGCTTTTGGTTGAATTATATGGGGATCTAAAGTAAATAGGGGATGATTGGAAAACTTCACTCTAATTGATTCCCACCCAACATTTGGTTGTTGAAAAACAGCACAGATGTGTTAACAAGGCATCTTCCGACTCCTGTAATCAAGACATTGGCAGGAAGGCATTTGGTCGTTTGATCCCAGAAAAACTTGATATGTGGATGATGAGCTTGTGACAGTGAAAAGTTTTGTCGTTTCCATCTTGATGTTTTTACTTGGAATGTCAGATTCCATTCGTTGAATAATATGAGAAACAACATACTTTGGTCTATTGTGCAGGAACTTTGGGATTTGTTTGCTGTTGGACTTGTACGAATGGGATGATTTGATATTCTGTTCCTTATATCTATAAAGAGAAAATTGTAAGTACACTTATACTTTTTTGATTATCGTTAAAGCTCACTGATTGCGAACATCTTATGAAAAAAACAGTATGCACAATACTTTTTGTAGCTATCAGGCAGGAACTGTGTTAGTAATATATTGACGAGATCACTTATCGAATGATTTCGTCTGTCCTCTAAATATGAATGCTTTAACCAGTTATTTCGCCTTTCCACTCTGTTGTTTGTATAAATGGCAACGCGCAACGATTCATCCCTGTAAAAACGGACCCATTTCTTGAAAAGTAATATATATATTTATATTAACACACATAGGTTAGATAGGTAGTATCAGTTTTGAGCAGTTTAGCGTACTGATATTAAAACGCATAAAATAGAAGAGATTAATACCTGCAAGTGTAATCCCCAAAATTCATCAAAGTATTTCTGCAGTTGCAGCGATTCTTTCCACAGATGGCTGTTTTTCAATGATTCAATGTTTTTCTGTAATGCGATTTGACTTGTGCTATTTGCAATATTTCGCAGCAGTTGTAATAGCTCATGTTTGTAAAGATACGTTCCATTACTGCGCTTAATCCATTCGTTCCACGCCTTCTCTCGATGAAAGTCGCAAAAACATTTTCTTCAAAAAAGGCTATTGCTTTGTTTCGTCTTACTTGGAATACACTGTTTGATTGCTCCAATTTCAGCTAATGAAAAATCAACCATTATGTTTTTAGGTTTCCACAGCGGATTCTCTTGACTGATGATGTTCAGTACTTCTGATATGGAATCCATGTCCTAATTTTGGGATGTGAAGACAGCAACAACAATGTAACAAACATTTGATCGGACACATAAGAAAAACAACGGTAGTGCATACCTCAAAAGATGCGAATTGGAAAACTTTAAAACATTAACTTTCCAAGTGACAACAATTGGAAACTCCATTTTCAAACTAGCATTTGGCAACAATTCCATGATGATTTCCCGCGCTTTTTATGTTTAGATTCTCATAGAATATACGTATGGCAAGTTGCAATTTTACAATGTAGGAAAATGTGCATTTCTTGTTGGTCGAAAAACATTTAGCCAAATGCATCATGATCTTCTCATATGACCATAAAATCAAGAAATGGTGCATTCAATGCTGTTAGGGAGGTGGGTGCATGGAAATCGAGCATTCTTCATGAAATTATGGATGGTCATTGCAGAGCACAGAGCACCCCAACCTGACAAAGATTTTTAGTTTACAAAATTGATAAAGAAAATTGTTCATGTTAAGTGGTAATATTATTTGAAAACACTATGACATCATGCAATGACTTTTTACAATTACATTTCACTATTTGAGAGAGTTGCATCTAAGGCAAGTTATGTTCTACAGCACTGGATCTATGCCACAAGCATAACAAAAGCAGGTGGGAGCCTTTTAAACTGTTCGAAAAATCCTTTGACAATGGAAGGAATTATATGCTCAAAGGTTTTTCTGAACAATCTGTTTTTCCATAATAGAATTTATTTTGGTGCTCAGAGATTCAATGTGAAAATTTTTGCCAGAGATGAATGTAGAGAATACCCAGTGTTACATGTTAAGATATATTGTCACCATTTCTTGTTGTAAAGTATTTTCAGGAACATATGAATTAGCTACTGTGATTGATATCACAACTTTACATTCAATATGGCTGCACCTGTACTATGATCACCTATCAATTTTTCGTGATAAATCAATATGCTCATTGAAAACCATCTATTTCATTTAATGAGCACTTAAGTTAGATTGTGGTTCGCTGTGTGGATGGCACTGCTGGAGACAACGAGTTTTCAAAATTTCCTGACAATAACTTTAACAAAGTTAAAAAAGTTACCACACCTGTGCATTAACTCAAATCAAAAAATTACAAGCAAGTATGGACAAACAGTCAAACAAATTAAACACACAAACTTTATATTATTATTCAGGAAGTTTGGAAAAAAATTTGAAGATACGAATCTAGATGGGTGTGTTTATCATGTATGTTGTATATATAATAATTTTTATTAGTACTACAAATAACAGGAAAATATTTAATATCATATCTATAATACAAATAGAGTCCATTTCTACTTTATAACATTACATTGTTCTCCTTAGGTCCAGTAAATCTGCAATTTTTGAAGTGCGGTTATTATATTGTAAAGTACTATCAATCCATTACTTCTGCAAGGCAGACATTTTAAAGAAAGTACATCTGACCAAAATTGAATTGAAATCTTTGTAATCTTTTATCGCTTTCTCTATTGCCAATTTGCCTTATTGCCATATGTAAACGCATATATAGTGCGGTAAAATCATTCGTATAATGAAACATGGATATTCGTCAATTGTTACTTACCGCTGACATAATAAGAATAATATGTGGGGGGCGTACGTTAGTTGACCATGATCTAGTGCCGACCGCATAATTCTTAACTTGCACACATCATCCATTTATCCAAGGAAATCTGCATGAAATAATATACATTCACACTGCACTCTACTAAATTCTGCGGCAATCGTATTTTAAAAACTTTCTGTGTATTTTTTACTGACATAAAACTTTTTACTATTGCTATTAAATGTTCATGTATACGTATCATTTTAAACTGAAAAAAAGTTACAAGACTTTCTTCCATATAGTTTAACCGTTATAACATTCCCTGCTATAAATTACTAGGGCTAAAAACAGTTATTTAGGAGATTCGTTGTGTTTTAATTATGCTTTTTGTTTGAAAAAAGACAAGAAGATACATTTGAGTATCTTATGCTACAGCAAAAAAAAAACTAAATTTAAAGATATCAAAGAGATTTATATTTACTTCTTTAATTTTTCTATCACGTCTTTGTGAATATTGTAATAATCGTCGAGAAATCCGCTTTTGAAAATTGGATTAAAATCATCTTCTTCAGAATCTTCATCATCACAATATACTTTGGACTCTTCAGTAACATTTGAAAAAACAATGTTCCTTTTTGAAGACAATCGTTTCCTCAGTTAGGCCTGTTTTATACGTTGCATTTTACATGCGTCGAATGCATTAGAGAGAAAAGAAAATGAGATAAAATTCCTCATTATCTTTTGTTTTGAATACATTCGTCTCATGTAAAATGCGACGTATAAAACAGGCCTTAGATAACTTGAGAGATAGCTTCGCCGTCCTGCTCTTCCTGAATCGGAACGCGTAATGTTTAATCCAAATAAGAGTATGTCTTGTTTGTAGAGCTATATATTGTAAAAACTTACATCGAGAAAGTTATTTTAGGCATAGTTTGCGTACAAGAAGCCATCGTGTTTTTAAAAAAACTGTTTGGAAAATTTCCACCGCACAACAAATGTAGTAAGTATGTGCAAAATATTGTGATTAATTTCTTGAGATGATCTAAGTGATCCTAAAATAACGATCTTTATTTAAAACCGAGCTTAACATAAATTATTTGTGGAAGGTACTTGCTTCTAAAAAGAAAGCAGTTTAATACACAAATACCTAAATGCTATTTTTATGGAGAAGATAAATATGGCAATATAATTGCTTATGACAACAAGAGTTGCCCCAAAAGTTGCTTTATTTAGCATGCATACAGCTAAAAACTCTACTAAAGGTCAACAAATTGCATTGTTCTGAGTGAAATATTATAAACTCGAAAAATCGAAACATCTTGTGAACAGTAGATAAAGATTTTGTTTGTTGTTATTTGCTTCTAAATTAGTTTAGGTTACTTTACAGGTATAATTGAGTCATATACATCTTATATTATGCCCACCACACTTTAGAAAATTGGTCAACTTTGGTAATGTTTTATATTAAGTGCAAACTTTCCCTATGTCAGTTCGGCAGTTGATATGCTTCTTGAATAATGCATATTCCAATTTGATTTATGTTATATGAAGTTACTTATGACTTAAGATAAGTCTCGTTCAGTTTTCAAATAAACATCAATAATATTTACACATTTCACATATATAAAACATGAAGTGCAAACTAGTACATAGATGGAAAGGTTGGAAAATAAATTGCTTCACACGTCAAAGTTGTCATCCTTGTTTTTATGATTTTAGGATCAAAACTATGCACCTAAATATTTCGTCCCCAAGATTTATAACTCTTGAGTTTTTATAATCTTTTTTAATTTTTGCGTTTTTAATAATTCTTTAAAAAACAAGCCTTTACTCCTGTCTGTTCTCTGTAGAGTCTTTAACTCTTCGTATTGATAATTTTACCCCACAACTAAACATAATGTAATCATACTACATTGGGAAATACATGCCCTTGCAGTGTTAAGCATACCAATGAGTATAAAATATACTTATTACAATTGATGGTGTGTAAATATAATGCACATAACGATGTCATGTTTCATGAAACTATTAGAATGATATAGGTAAAATAGGTAAACAAAAATGCAGAGTGTTTGCATGAAAGCACAAGTGTTACAGGGTAACTTATACTTTTCGCATTTTTACTACACTTGACTTGGTGTGCAATAGTGCTACAGTCGTTTAAAAAATAAAATGTTTTCGGAACAAGATATGAGCCCCTTGCAAAATATTTGCTGTTTCCTTTTCCCATTTTATAGAACCATTTTACCAAGTAGAAATTATCGTGCAGCAACCTGATTTGTCAACAAACTGTATTTAGAATTAACCCAATGAAAAACTGATTATCCATGGCAATCTCCCTATTTTATATAAGCTACTATTTTTGCAAAGCATTCCAAAAATCTAATTTCATTAAACAAGGTCTTCAAATGGGATGTTGCATGAATATTAGGAAAATTATACCTAGCATCCCAGGTGTCTTTTATAGTCAATTTTACTATAGAGTGTTTCAAAATGGAAAAACAACAACATTAAGAAATGGCTTGGAAATTTAATGCTTACATAACATTGGCTGGTCATGATTCTAAAATGCACGCAGTTGAGTCATTGTTACAGAATATTGAGTTATATACCTGATTTCACATAGAAACTCAAATACAGTATTTACTACAGTGTCTTACTCACTGGACTGAGTGCAAGATTTGAAAATGAATCTAATCGCACAATATAAATATTTAAAATCACCAAGCCTGTGAAGCTGTGCATGGGCTATTTCATAGCATTTATCCAAAGGAATGACCCGTTCTACAACTCCAACCCAAAGTAAAACAGCCCGTAAAAAATAAGGACTAGTTGATTGTCTAATTTCAAGGCAAATACAGAACGTTACAACATCCCAACGATATCAAAGGACTTCATTATGAAATCCTAAAGGCAGAGGCGTAACTAGAACGTTAATAAACGCGGGGTAGGGTGTATATCCATATATTCAGTTGTGCCATACTAATTTCTGTTAAATTAAATTAACTTTTGAAAGAAATCATTAGGGCACAACGGAACATATGAATATGCACCCCCCAATTAACGTTCTAGTTACGACTCCTTTTACAGGGAATCTCATACTATACATATTTCGCTTATTGGAAAAGAAATGGCCTAAAAAAACAGAAATTAAAACAGCTTTGCCGAAATTTAAAATAATATTCGATGTTAGAAAGGACTGACTGCCAGAACTTAGTAATCCTGACGCCAGAACTCGAACTGAAACAACATACACATAAACTGATTATGATTCTGTTTCTTTATATGGGGACAAAGATGCTACACCATAAATCTTTTACATATAGAGCTGGTGCGAAATCAAAAAAAAAACGTATTCACTGCTGGAAACAAACAAAAACACACTTGGTCGGTGCGTGTATCTGAACAAGAAATTATTTGTTAATTTGCTTCGTTTTTATTTACGTGTATACTAAATAATGTAAAAAATATGTCTTTTACAATAGGTTTCATACCATGAAAACTTCTGGAAACTTTAAAAATATCATGTTTCTATGTAGTGACGTAGCTAATGAAGAGTTGGAGTTAAAAAATTGAGCAAGACATACCTTAAATTGAAGTTATAGATTTTAATTCTGCTCGTCATCATGATAAGCAAAGGCATAACATGCCTTTTCATATATATATGTAATACAACAACAACTTCCATATTTTTCCCTAACTAACTGTATCTTTTTTTAGGAAGGAATATAGAAAAGTGAGACACATGAACAGGCTTTATCTTTAAGGTTTTGTGTATAAAAATTGTTTTAATCAACGCTGGTTTTTTAGAGTATCTTAATGTCACAAAAGTAACATGTGTTATTTGAAATACTACAACCTACAAATGACACCAACATTTGCAACGTTTCGCGTTATCTGTGATTGCAAAATGTTTTAACCGCTTAGTTTTATAACAAGGAACAATATTTATAACCAAAAATTAAAGAATATTTGAAGAACCAATGAAATCAACTAGATCTGTACTCCAAGTATTTTCACAATTTCCCCTCTTTTTGACTCTTAAAGAGTTCATCTAATTAAGTTCTAAATTTTGTGTATTTACTTTCTAATATAATAAGCACGCCTTTTATTTTCTCCGTGTAAACGTGTAAATTTGAGGGGGAATTTAGCATCAGCAGTATCATCAAACTTTATTTTTTGAAAAATATATAAAAGTAGAGCAAGTGAACCATAGCGTGAAATAGAAGGTTGCTTTTTATAATAAAGATGTTTCTAGGGAAAGACCGAGTTAATTTGAGTTTATAAAGTTTACTGTATTAAATAAAAAAGACGAAACCAAGAATCAATTCTTCAAGTAAATTATTAAATTTTAGCTACACGTTCTTTTCATAAACAAAGATATACATTAATCTAGGATTTTAAACTAATAAAGAAATTTTTTATAATCCAAGTATTGTAAATCTTGCATTTCTCTTAAAATATTCAAAATAAAAAAAAATGAAAAATGTAAAACTTTCTTTATGTCCTAATTTTTACTTAAGTTTTTTTAATTTTCCAATTAGTAGAAAGTTTTTAACTTGTCATATATAGAACAAACAAAATGTATTTGTAATAAAAATAACTCGCCCCAGCCTTGTAGCTATGATAAAAAGCAAGAACAATTTTAATTAGAGTACTTAAGATTTTTTAAAGCATACGTTTATATTAAGTAAAAAGCAGATACTTCAAAAAAGGAAAACAGTTGAACCAGGGCAAAGTCAAACAAATTGTATTTAGGCATATCAGTTTAAAAAGATTTACGAGGAAAAGGCTCTTAGTAGTTTCTAGCCATAAATTGTAAACCACATAGTAAAACACAAGTGGAAAGAGAACAAGGAAAAGTTTACCAAAAACAAATTTTAGTTGCATATGTCGCTGTATCTTAGTAGTTTAATTCAGTTTAGGTTTATTTATATGTGAAAAGAGATTTAAAATATTTTTGCTCCCAAATATATATTAAAGTGCATTACATTGTTCTCTGTTTGCATCAAACTTTCAGAAACAAATCCTTTTTATCTACTTTAAGATAGCTCTACAAACGGACTATATATAAGAGAATTTAACTACAGGGTTAAACAGCCTAAAATAAGACCATTACTCCAAATGAATCCAATTTTACCAGAAACAGCTTTAACTAATTTTATCAATATTCCTGAAATTGTTTTATTCTGTTCAGATCTAGCTAAACATAATAGAAAAAGAATTCATAAATTGTAAACACAAAAGACTAAAAAAATTTTGTTTGAAATTTCAAACACTTCAAAAGTTACACTTTAAAACGCTTGCATGTGCAATAATATACAAACATAAAAAATAACATACCAATACTGTTCGAAGATTCAGTAACAACAACATGATTCGAAGCAAACGATTTTTTTCGAATTGCCTGCGCTTTCTTATAAAATTCGTTTGCTTTGTCCTTTTCTTTAGTAGAATGGTACACATTACCAAGATTTTTTAAAGTCGTAGCTACATTAACATTTTCAGGACCAAGTGCTTTTTGTTGAATTTCCAACGCTTTTTCATGAAATTCTCTTGCTTTGTCATATTCTTTAGTACGATAATACATTTTACCAAGATTGTTTATAGTCATAGCTACCTCAACATGTTCAGGACCAAGTAATTTTTGTCGAATTTCCAACGCTTTTTCATAACACTCTTTGGCTTTGGCATATTTGTTGGTATCATAATACACATTACCAAGAATGTTTAAAGTCGTAGCCACGTCAACATGTTTAGGACGTAGTGATTTTTGTCGAATTTCCAACGCTTTTTCGTTAAATTCTTTTTCGTTGTCATATTCTTTAGTACGATGGTACACGTTGCCAAGATCGTTTAAAGTCGTGGCTACATCAACATGTACAGGACCAATTGATTTTTGTTGAATTTCCAACGCTTTTTTATCGCACTCTTTGGCTTTGACTAATTTGTTGGTATCATAATACGCATTACCAAGATTGTTCAAAGTCGTTGCTACATTAAGACATAAAGACAAATAAGCTTAATTGAGAAAAACTGGACCCATTGACTCAGTTAACCATCTGATCTGATAATAGACTGGTTATATAGCTTCTATATGTATCAGAAAAGTGAAGCCCGATAAATCTGCAACGATGCGACAAATTAGATTTTTGCATGGACAGTTTTCAATAGGACACAAACGGCAATATTTGATGGCCACAGAAAGCGTTTTGATGTCGAATTGAATTGAATAACTTGTTCTACCCATGACGTACATTTTTATTATTTAAAAAGTCGCGAAACTAAAATATTTGAAAGTTTACGTTGGTAAACGTTATCCGCCATCATTCCTATTTGGTCTTTGAATCTTGTACTGAAGGAAAAGAAAATAATAATCTGGCACAAACTTGTTTATTACCACTCTGCTATTTTGACACAGTTAGCTCAGCATGTTCTATTTGTTAATTATACATTTTTTAAGAAGTGTTTAATTTGATGTTCTAGCGTCAGTAGTGAGCTTTAGTAAGTGTGTACCAATATACTTTGCGACTTAATTCAAGTACGAGTTCGAAGTTTGACCGTGTACTGGATTGGCTCGAGGAAGTTTGTTGTTGTTGTTGATTCGTCAAAATTTTATTTTGGTTATAAATAAAGACGGAGGTTTTTTACTGGGAAAACTAACGAGTTTTTTGAAGCATATAGCTCTAGCTACGGCTTTGTTTGTTAAGAATAATAAAAACGAATCGGTAATAATGTTTTGCAAGAATATAGGACTCTTTATAAAAAGAAAAATCTTTACTAATTTACATTTTATATTTTATATAGTTGTAGTATTTTACTGTTTGTTTACATTCTATTTGCATTTGAGATGCATGGAAGTATAAAATATATACAAAGTTTTTTTGGTAATTGAATGACATTTTGAAGCTGTTCTATCAAGGCATTTCTGAATTGCAAAAATATCCACAAAGTAAAACTTTTATATTGCAAAATGAATTATTACACTAGCTACATAGAGAAAGCTCGACTTTACTGGTTTCAATGTTGCCAAATATTGATGGTGCTGTAGCGTATATTGTTCATGGACAACAAGGGGATGAAGAAATTGATAAAAACTATTTTACTTGTAAATTCTATTGTTGAATTGGTTCAGTAAACCTGTGTATGAATTTGCTTTGCAAGCAAAGATTTGATTAATTTATTAACAAAGTCGTAAAAGTTTAACAGGTTTGAAAAACGAGTTTGGTAAATGGGTATCAAGTATTGACAATGTAACAGTGGAACAAGAGGACTTTTAAACTTGGTAAACACATATTGCTATTAACAATTTCCATTCAGTAGAATGAAAAATGATTCAGCCTTGGAAAAGTAACAATTGAAAATGACGCAATTTCTTCAGGCAACGAAAATTAAATGTGGAAATAAAGCACACTTAAAATTCATGAGGAATATTTAGTTTAAACGTCTCCAATAAATATATTGATGATGTATATTTAGAACCTAATATCATTCTCCTTGATATTGAGGGAAATACATCCGTAAACGTTCCTGTGATAACAAAAGATCCCGACGCAACTCTATTATTACGTAATTAAATGTTAACTGGTGCTTAAATAATGTGTGGCGAACATCTGTTGCATTACAAATATTGCTAATAACGTTAATAAAGTCAACCTCGAACTGGCATCATTAATTCTCTTGTTTTCTCGGTATGAATACACTCTTATTGGCGCAAACTTGGATGTTTTTTATAATGAACAAAAATGCCTCATGAATCATTACTGGATTCATTGAATGGTTACTTTATCGTAAGTTTGGAAAGTTGGCATGCATGTTGTAACATGAAATATTACGACGTTTGTACAAATACGTTTTGCACTCCGGCACTCGTTATTCTTTTTAGTAAATAATACCTTATAATTATACCTCATTAATTTGAATTTATATAACTTAGAAGAAACGAAAACGTAAGAGATTCTATTTTAGACTTTCGTTAACATAGCCATATTTACAACCCCGTACGTTAATGAACAAGCATTTACGTACTTGTTGGCAATGAAATTATGAGCTCTCACTTTATTTGTATATCTTATATATCTTTCCTGTTTTCTTACAACCTTTCACCATCTTAGCAATATGAGATGACTAATATTCCAAAATCACTTTTTTTCTATACAACTCCATAGTACACAATTGTCAAGTTACTAGCCAGAAAAACGGTGGACTTAACGCAGGCGCACAGAATATATGCCAAGCATTACACAGTCAATGAGTGGGGCTTCGAAATCACTTCATACATATTCAAAGCTCAGTTTCTCTCAACTGATTACTTGATTTGAAATATCTAGAAGAAAATCTTGCCATAGATGGAGAAATGACTTTGCTGATGATTACATAGAGTGTGATTTTTATGTCGCTCTCAATATATGTGAATGTGAGTGACCTTTTAGAATACGGGCATAGACTTCTTCAAGAATTTTTATTGCTGAAATAAATATAAATCCCAGAGGATCGACGACATTTTCATCAAGCAACTTCGTGAATATCTCAGGAAATATATTACATTTCTGTCCGAAAGAAAAGGAACAACGGAAAATACAAGACAATTAAGTTCCTTTGTAAGAAAGGAATTGTCTACATTGAGTTTTAAATCGTACGCTCTCACCTACCATGAAGTAGTTTATTTAAATCATATATAGTTCATATGTCGTCGTATAGATGGCTTAGACGCAAATAAGTCATTGAAAAGGCTTAGTGCAAAAGCTCAAACAAAATATTTTCTTTTAAATCACATAACATTCAGTCAAAATTCACCTATAGTGTTCCCACGCTATATACTAGTCATTCAGTGGTGGATTCAAATTTATATTTGAAGATAATCGCACAATATAAATATTTAGAATCACCAAGGCTGTGAATATGTGCATGGGCTATTTCATAGCATTTATCCAACAAAGGAATGTCCCGTTCTACAATATATATATATATATATATATGTGTGTAGTGGTGTTGAAAAACCACTATATATATATATATATATATACATATATATATATATATATTCACAACATAGTGAGTTTTATATATATATATATATATTATATATATATATATATATAGGAAGTTTATAATTTATGATTTTCCGTATAAAACAGTGCTCGATGCCCGAGAGCAGAGCGTAAATATTGGTAAGGAGAAGAAAATACACAAAACTACAATTTCATCCCGACAAGCCTGTTTCGTGATTGCTCACTCTTCAGGGATTTAATGAATAAAATACTTAAATGCTTAAATATATATACAAGATGATGACGGAAGCTAGTGTATTAATCAAGGTGTATAGTTTCAAGTTAGATGACGGAAGTTAGAGTATTAATTACGGTGTATGGTTACAAATTACATAGGAGTGTTTTGGATCTATGGCGACAAGAGGAAATAAGTTCGTTGCGTTTATTGAGGGATGATTTGGATGGTTGATACATGATGAAGAATTTTTCTTTAAGGCAAAGGTTGCATCTTTTACTGGTGCTGTTGTATGGTTTGCTGTGTGTAATGATGTTCCATGAGATGTCGTGGTCGATATTGCTGTCTTTAAGGGTCCAAATGTGCTTACTGAGCTCGGTCGAGTTTCGTAGTTTTTTGTGGCGGAAAGAGGCAGTGTGATTTCTATGTCTAGTCTTAAATTCGTTTTCTGTAAGTCCAATGTACGTCTCAGTTGTGTTATTGTCTTTGCGTTTTACAGTAGCTTGGTAAACAACGGATGACTGCAGGCAATTTCCGTTAAGTGGGCAGTTTTGTTTTGTCGGCAGTTGCATGTTTTGTAAGTGTCTTTTGTTCGCGGTGTTGTCGTTATGATGTTCTATGGTTGTTGATTATTTGTTCCATATTGTTCATGCAGCTGTAGCTGAGTTTGATGGTGTTACGGTTGAATATTTTCCTGAGTTTATGGTCCATGGGGAAGTGTTTGTCGATTAATGAAAGGAATTTGTGGCCAATGTTCGTGTAGACGTTTTGCTGAATGGAGGGTTGTACCAAAGTATATTTTGTCGAAGTCTGTTTTCCGTTTGGTAGTAGCGTCTGAGTCGAATTTTAGTGTGTATCGGTATCCGTTTTCGTCGAGTGCTTTTTGGTATGGTGCAGTTATTTGGTCAAATGATGCTTTGTCGGATGATAGTGAAGATAGACGTTTGTTGATGGCGTCGGGTATGTTCTCCGTTATGGTTGGTGGATGGTTGCTTTCGCTGTGTACGTATTGCAGAGAAGAGTTGGGTTTTGTGTAAGGGCGATATGAAAAATTGTTAAGATTGAAGGTGATGTCGAGGAAGTTGATGATTTTTTTGTTTGCTTCAATAGTTATGCGTAGTCCATTGTTGTTGAATATCCGGCATATTTCCTTTTTAATGTTCTCTGTTTCTCGTGGTGTGGTGTTTGAAATGGCAAGTCCGTCGTCTCGATAAAGTCCTATGTCTGTTGTGATGTTTTGTAGTTGAGAAAGGAGGTAGCTTCCTACGAGTTCGCATGTCTCAGCTCCGTCGAAGCTACCCATTGTGACGTCGAATGTAGAGTTATGTTTTTTTTGCCAGGGTTGTTTGTTG